CAAAGCAATTAATTATTTTTGCTAGGGTTCACTTTTTTTGACAAGAGGGTTTGTGATTTGCTTCGAAATACCGTTTTACAGACGATGTTCTGCATACCACTATTCCAGAACATAAAACACACACCGCTTTGTCGCTTTTACTAATAATGCCATGTTTCTCGGCCTACCTAATTTGAAATTCTCTGTTACACTTGCTATCTTGCACTTTTTGTTCTTTTTCTAAACTAGACATGTTAAGTAACAGTTAAAAATAATAAATACAACACAGATGAACTTTAAAATACAGTTGTGTCAATGAAATTGACTATGCTATGCGTAGGCAGACTTAAGCAATTGTAGTCTACGACGTAACTAAGGCAAGACAATCACAAACGATTGTGCTTCCGCCGCCCCGCAACCGATCACTCGTGTTTGTTCGCAATACTTCATAGTGAATTTTTGTTATTTTGAATTGAATGCAAACCATTTTTGATCACTGGTGTGCCAAAAGTATTGTGTCGCGTGCCACTGGTTCGCCATCCCTGGACTAATGCATGTTTAATCCGTCTAAGTTCCAATGCTATGGTGTGGAAGCTAGGAGAGAGAGGGCTAGCTGTGGTGTGGTCTTCGTTACTTAACCGTGATTCCAAATTTCGAGTCCGTCTCCAATAGCCCACGGTGGTAGCCTACTGGTCAAGGCATCGGATCGTGGCTGGCTTTGCAACGAGTTCGAGCCCATTATCACTAAAAACCCGCCGCGTAAGGGGGAGCGATGCACGTTAAATCTGTCGAAAGCTCAAACGTCCTTCCATTGGTGTGGTGTGGTAGTTAGGAGAGAGGGTGCCAGCTCAGGAGTCATCCTCGTCACTTGACCATGGTTCAAAATTACGTGGTCCATCGCCAAAAGCCTCGTGTAGCTGAACCGCGCGGCGTTAATATTCACTCACTCATCCAATAGCCCACGTGTTGCTTTAGGTCAGTGCTCCGCAACCTTTTTTCACTGCCCGGACCGGTCAACATTTGATAATTTACCGCGGCCCACTGAGGGTGGGATTACGTTGATTGTTTTGATAAAACAATTTTAATTTAGTTACATTTAAATATGCCTTCATAACAAAATATAGTTACACCAAAAATGAATAAAGTTACTTCCGTGAAAAGTTGCACAAATCGAGAGAAATGCCACTTTAATTAAAATGGCAATAGTTAACTTTTTCTTTAGGCGGCCTGGCACCATTTGATCCGCAGACCGGTACCGGTCCGCGGACCGGGGTTGCGGATCACTGCTTTAGATAGTAACGTTAATAAATACTCACTTTACTTTCCTCCTCAAGCCTAGACTAGTGTATCGATTTGAATGCAATAAAGTGCATTTGAAAGAAGAAAAAAATAATAAAGTTTTTACCACATATCCCACACTTATTTTTCCTCCAATATTTGAAAATATTTTAAGAATCGTAAAAAATCCTGCGTATAACGCGCACCTATACTTTTCAGCTGTAATTTTTAGGTATTTTCGCGTATAATGTGCACCTTTTTTTTTAGCACCCTTTTATAAGCTTCACTTGTATGTAACGGAATCTTTGAACTCAAATTTTACCCACTTTAATAGGTCAGATTAATTCAAAATTTTGCTCACTTGTCCAGAACCGGCGATAATACAATAATTTAATAATTTCGTTCTGTTGTCCTGATCAGGTTCATCAGGATTAACGATTTCCCATTTCAGATCTCCCGCATCTGGCAACTAATTTCAGAACCCATTTCAGATTTGGCGACAAAAAAATTAGAAGTTATAGCTTAGTTTGATTAACTATAAGGATGTTTTTTAGGTTTTTCTAAACTATAATTTATTTACGAAAAAACCTGAAATGTGCGTATGCAATGCCATTGCTTTGAAGTCATTTATTCGAAGTATTATTCCAAGCTTTAGAAAAAATAGTACATTTCTAGAACTACAGCCCGCGTTAAATTCATAAGGGAATGTCATTTCTTTTAAATAAACAGTATTTCGATGCATGTAGAAGTCTAATTTTTTTATGCTTATATATTTTTATTTTTATTATTTTTAAAGCTCTCACTTTAATACCGGCGTATAACACACATCGTTAAATATCGATCTTATTGTTTGCATTAAAAGTCCGCGTTATACGCCGGATTTTACGGTATTTCTAGAAAACCGATAAACAAATGAATAAAATAGATACCAAAATATGTTCAAAAAATTGGAGGCAAATGTAAGTAACCTATGCAAATCGATACACTCGTCTAGAATGCTCTTCATAAGATAAACATTACATACGCGGGTTTAAATGGCCGTTTTTAACATGTTTTTTATCATTTTAATGGTTAAAAGAAAATTTAGAGAATCTAACTCTATATGAATGTAAATTGTATAATGAATTTATTAAAATAAATTAACTTAATAAAATTGACAGTTAAAATTACAAAATAAATATAACTTACCAACAAATTTGGGGAAAGATTTGCAGAAAAGTGGTGGCCACATCTTGAAAACATGGCGTATCCCTTCAAATAACTTTTATGAGGTAACCACACCGGTGATGTAGCATTCTGTTTAATTTTAATAAAAATAATTCAATTAAAAACGAATCATTCAAATTAAATACATAATTCATATTTTAAAATACAAGATGAATAATAATTGTCACTGCATATACGAATTATTTCTTGAGAATTTATTAATCGTATCGTCACGAAATACACAGTTACAAGAAAAGAAAATTCTTTTAAAGACCATTTTCGTCTCATTTTATAGATTCAAATTTGAAACATATTTTACATGAAAATCAATCTAATTTTAATGATAAGTTAAAAGTAAAAAATTTTTTAAAAAGCTTTTATTTAAATACTCTAAAAAGAATAAATTAAACTTTTCTTTTAAAACTTTTTTGCTATCACCTTATAATGCCGTTATACAATTTATGATATAAAAGCTTGTCGCGAGATTTAAGTACTCGTATTTACTTGGTTTGAAAATTTTTAAAAAAATTAAAAATCAATCGGGTCAAAGTTATTTAATTTGCTTGTTTATTTACACAGGTAAATCTCGCAACAAGCTTTTATATCATAAATTGTATAACGACTTTATAAGTTGATAGCAAAAAAAAAAAATTTTTTAAGAAAAGTTTATTTTATTCTTTTTAGAGCATTTAAATAAAAGCTTGTTTATAAAAAGTTTTTTTTTTACTTTTAACTTATTTTTTACTTTTTAGTTATCACTGGACAGAGGATTCTCAGTCTGCTAATATCATTCAACGTATCATTATTGCAAGGTCGTTTGCTAGTTAATTTTGAAAAATCCAGCTAAAAAAAGGGGTACTCAACCTTTTTTCCCACCAAGCCACTTAAATATGATAGATATTTCACTCGGGCCGCAACAAGAGGATAATGGGAAATGGAGATAAGCACTGTGTTAGAACAAAACAACATTGGACAAAGCAAAATTAATTAAAACTCTTTTTTTTTTGCTCTTACTATAATATTATATTAAAAACGAAAAAAAAATCTGTAATTTTAAACCAGTTTTTTCAATTTTTGTGCAGAATTTGGATAATACTATTCTACAAACGAGAAAATATTTTCGTGCGATGATATTTAAAAATGACGAAGTTTTCAAATGTTTCATTAAAATTTGAGTATTTGTTGAAAATCGTAAAAGTTTTAGGCATTTTATTTTTTAAATGACTGATTCTGAAAGAAAAGCCTGAGCTTTTTAGCAGAATATCGATTCAATAACACGAAGAAAAAATAAAATTCATACGTGAACGATTTAGAAATCATTTTCATGAAAACGCATTGATTTTGACTCATTTTAGAAAAAATTGTAAAAATAGAAAATATCATTTTTAAAAAAAAAAAATTATACCGTACCGTACCGAAATAAATGATCTTTCCCATTAGGTTATTTTTTTGTCTCAATTTAAGAGAAAGAATAAGATGTTTTTTTTAAAAAAGTAGAAAAACATCAATCCGATAAGCTGCTGGGCAGAATAAAAAGCTAACAGAGGTAAAAGGTTTTCAATTAATATATTTTTAACTAATTGCGATATATCGGAATATAAATCCTCAAAACATGCATTGTCATACAAACTAAACATGTATACAAAATTTCAGCTCAATCGGTTGAAGACACCAGCTTCAAAATTGAGTTGCAAGATTTCACCCGAATATTTTACATTGTTACAAAAATAAATAAAAGATTGTAAAAACAAGAAAGAACGTGGGAATTTAAATTTGAGATCAAGAGAAATAATTTTCGAAGGAAAATTAAAGTGATTTAAAGTAAATTTAAAAACTGCGATCACCCGGGAATTGAACCCGGGTAATTCATTAGAAGTCATCTTTCTAACCACTAGGCCGCGAGGGCTCATAGAAAGAGGTAAAGTAGGCTTTAACTTGGGTAAGAATTTTTTAATTATATATTTTTAACTAATTGCGATATCGGAATATAAATAGGCAAAACATGCATTGTCATCCAAACTAAACGTGTATGCAAAATTTCAGCTAATCAGTTGAGGACATCAGCTTCAAAATTGAGTTGCAAGATTCCACCTGAACATTTTACATTGCGAGTTAAAAAAAGCTTGTAAAAAATTGATGACATTGTAACATATGTACATCAGCTTACTATATATAATATTATTTAAACTTAAAAGTATTTAAAAAATACCTCTTTTCTCTTTTGCACAAGTAAAGTTTGAGATCCGCTTAGGATAACAGTATAAACAAGTAATATAAGAAAAATTTAAATCAGTTCCTCAACAAAATTTTTTTTAATTTTAGTTACTTTTTATTAAATAGTTACAATTAATGTAAATATGTGTATACGTATGATAGAATCACAACATTAGTGACAAAATAGAAAAACAATTTTCCTTTCTATATGTGGTGGACTATTTGTTTGTTTGTTTGTTAATATTTGTTCATTACTTAAATTTAATTATTCTAATAAAATAGTATAGTAAAAAAATAAAATCATATATTCTCAGAAATTAAGCCATCTCAGGTGGGATTCAAATCCACAATCTTTGAATTAGAAGTCCAACGCGCTATCCATTGCGCCACAGGGACACAACGAACGATTTTCCTTCCTATATATATACTGTTGGACTACTATTTTTGTGTGTTACTATTTATTCTTTTTTAATTCAATTAATAAATTAATATTTGAAAAAGTATACTAACATCAAGTGTCATCCATTACAAGTTTTAAAAAATGTATTTGAACTTGAATGGATGGATAGAAAGTATATTTTATTAACGATTGAAAATTTGAACATGATTATATATAATATATATATATATATAATATATATATATATATATATATATAATATATATATATATAGGAGAGAATGAACTATAATTGTTGGAATTGAAAAAGCTAATGAACACATTTACTCATTAGAAAATTATATTTGCTCATGCTAAATGAAAAATGTTATTTAAAACGGTGTTCTCTAAAGAACGTCGAAATGAGAATATAATATTAAAAATGGAACTTTATGTTTTTTCAATCGATTTCAATGTTTTTATTTTGGATTCTATTTTTCAGCATTACGAAAGCAGCCTTATTCAGTTAAAACGATTTTTGTAAAACTAACATTAAATGAGTTTGATAATATTATCATATTATAAAAATTTCAAATGTTAATGTAGAACTTGTATAGAAGGACTTAAATTATCAAGCAGATTGAATAACTTGTGTTTGTTTATGATGCCCGTAATTTCTCAATTTCTATCAGTCATGATAATTGAGTATCTATTTTTACCACTGCGTAGTGTATAATTACATAGAAATACAAAAAAAAAAAGAAAAAAAAATGTTACATTCTGCAGATTTTACATTTTTAAAAAATTAATTTCCTGCTTCTATACAAAATTACAATGTTTTTTCTGACATCGTAACATATGGAGACACCAATCGGACAGTTATACGGATTGCAAATTGTCATAAGTTTTCTTTCTTTTCGTTTTTTTGAAAAAAATAAAAAGAAATTGACAGGAAAGTCACTTTACATGACAAAAAAACGTTGTTGAAAGTAAAATTTTGATGAATAATCTCTCTCTCTCTCTCTGTGTAGAAGGCATGTGCATATATATAAGATAACATAGATAGTTTTGTTATCATAAGTTATTTGTTAACATAAGGTATGTGCATAAATATAAAAATAACATAGATAGTTTTTGTTATCATATGTTATTTGTTAACATAAGATATGTAAATATAGCTTAAGATAGTTTTGTTATCATATGTTATTTGTAACATAAGATATGTTATCATAAGATTGTAGTTTTGTTATCATAAGTTGTGTGTTTATTTTTTGTTATCATAAGGTATGTGCACATATATAAGATAACACGGATGGTTTTGTTATCTTATATATATGCACATGCCTTCTGGAGAGAGAGAGATTATTCATTAGAATTCTACCTTCAACAACGTTTTTTACATTACTACTAACTTTTTCATTCAACTTTCTTAACACGCTTTTATTAACTTCCAAGTGTATATGACGGAATCTTTGAACTCGATTTTTTCCCATTTGAAAAGGTCAGATTAGTTCGAAATTTAGCACACTTGTCAAGGACTGATGGCAATACAATACTTTAATAATTTTGTCCCATTGTCCGATCAAGATAATCAGATTAACGATTTCCCATTTCTTGATTTAGTGACTAATTCCAGATTTGACAACTAAAATATTAAGTTGCAACCCTAAACCGAAATCGCCCATGGTTAATACAAATACAACAAACAAAATGTGTTTTCATCGCCTTATAAATGACATTTTAAAACTAAAAAACACGCTTTGTTGTACATTGAACTAAAATATGAAAAATAAATTATAGTTTTAGAAAACTAAAAACACGCTCGAACCAAAATTAAAAATAATTCTTAGTGTAAGAATAAAATGATTATCGAGAAATTAATGTCATTGTGGTAGAAGCGTATAGGGGGGAGGGTGCTTTATACTACATTTTTTACACTAACTCTGCATTTCGGAATAGAACTAGTAAGGAATTATAACAATTGATATCGAACACCCCACGCTTTTTATCACAATGACATTAATTTTCTCGTTAATCATTTTAGTCCTATATTAAGAATTATTTTTTTGCTTTTCAATTTGATTAAAACTAGAAAAAGCATGTTTTTTAGTTTTTTTAAAACTATAATTTATTTAAGTTCCTTTTAGTGTTATCGTTGTTATCTATAAATAAAAAATGAATGTTAGTCTGTATGTCTCTTATGCCTTTCTAAGCCGCTCTTCCGATTGCGATGAAACTTAGGGGAATGGTTGGACGTATACCTGCAAAGAGGTTTCTGAGTTAGTAACTATGTCGATAGATGCCCAAGTAACGTTGCGGGGATTAAAGGGAGTTATGATAATTATTTCCATTTTTAAGTTATTAGACATACAGTCTTGAAATTTAACAAGCAGATTTCTTTTATGGAGTAGAAATCTGCTCCAAGATGGGTTTTACAAAAATGACTCCAAAAAGGCGTTATAGATAAATATTACTGTTTTTGAAATATTAGAAAATTGATTTGAAATTTGAATTTGATAGGTCAATTCCTTTAATGGAACTAAGTTCCTCTAACAACGGGTTTTTGTGAAAATCGACCTCAAAGGGATGCGAGGACCTAGTTGGCATTGAGATAAATATTTCCGCTTTTATACTATTATACCTACAGATTTGAAATTTGGTAGGCCAGTTCCTTTTATGGAGTACAGATTCATTACAAAGTGGTTTTGTGAAAAATTGACTCCCAAGGGGCGTTACAAGGGTTTAAGGGGCGTTATATAAAAATATTCCTGTTTTGAGCTATATAAGACCTACAGTCTTGAAATTTAGCAGGCATGTTCCTTTCATAGAGTAGTGATCCGTTACCAAAACCTTTTTAAAAATAGACCCCCAAGGGGAGTTGCGAGGGGGTTAATGGGGCGATAGAGATAAATATTCCCATCATTGAACTATTAGAACAGTGATAGAGAACCAACGGCACGCGACACAATATTTTAGCACGCCACCGATCAAAACGTGGTTCGCATTTTAATTCAAAAATAACAAAGTAAAATATGAAGTATTACGAACAAACACGAGTGATCGGTCGCAGTTTTCAGCGAGATTTTATGAGTTCAAGAATTACCGGAAACGTTCAAGTTTTTTGTATTTTTATGTGACTGCATTAAAAACTGAACATGTCCCAATTTGATTAGTTGAAAATTGAAAGATTTGAAATTCAACTCATTGATTTCAGTCAATGGTTCAATACTCATTCGAAAATTTGTTGTTAAAAAGGAGAACGTCGGAATTGATTGAAACAGAAAGATTAACAAGCTGTTTAAGTAAAAATGCTTGCAATGGAAATTTGGAAGCATGGAATTCGATTCCAGACACATTTCACTGTTTGAAGAAGCAGGCTCATGCTATTTTAACCATATTTTCATCTATCTCCGCCTGCGAGTCATTATTTTCAGAGATGAATAACAAAGGCTCGCTTAGAAACTGTCTTCATATGTCTCCAATTCAGCATACATTCAGCTAAAAGTAACATCTTACCCAATCCGAATATAAATTATTTGTCATCTAATCTGCAACAGCAGAAATCACATTAATGTTACTTTATATAATTTGAATTAGGCATATGACTAAAACAATTACTAGTACAAAAATGTATTTTTCATAGCAAATAAAGAGTTTTGAGTTGCTAGTATTTAGTTTTATTATTTTCTCAATAATCATAAGTCAAAATTATTTGACGGCACGTCTATACCCCACTAAATGTTTCTTTAAAAAAAATTGCACGTTGATCCATATAAGTTCACCACTTCTGTATTAGACCTTCAGACTAGAAATTTGATAAGCATGTTCCTTTCATGGAGTAGAGATCCGCTGAGAAAGCGTTTTGCCGAAATCAACCCCCATAGGGTTCGCAAAGGGTTAAGTGCTATTATAGATAAATATTCACGTTTTTCAACTATTAGACCTACAGATTTGAAATTTGGCTGGTATATTCCTTTCAAGGAGTAAAGAACAGCTACAAAGAGGCCTTTACAAAAATAGTACTCCAATGGATTTGCAAGGGTTTAAAGGAGTGTTATAGATAAAAGAGAATTCCATTTTCGAGCTATTAAACCTAGACTTGAAATTTAGCTGGCATGTTTGTTTCATGGAGTAGAGATGCTCTAAGAGAGGGTTTCCGAAATTTGACATCCAAAAGGGATTGTGAGGGCGTTTTATATAAATAAAAAATTTTCTTTTATAAATAACTAGGCCTATAAAGTTGAAATTTAGAAAACATATAACTTTTACTGACATCTGATAAGAAAAGGGTTTTCAAAAGTCAATCTACATGGGTGTTACGGGGGTGTTATAGATTTTTAAAAAAATCTCTATGCTTCAACTATTAGATCTAAAGATTTCAAACTTGGCAAATCTGATTTTTTTTGTTGAGCAGAAATATGTTATAAGAACCTTTTTTTTTTGTTTAATTTGCATTTCATTTAAATTTAACACATACAGTTTTTCTCCTTTTCCTTCAATCTCTATCGTTTTATTTTTTAAATTCACCCGTGCGAAGAACAGGTATACCAGCTAGTATTGAATAATTATATTATCATACTTTTTACTCGTTTTATCTCATTCTGGGCTATAGTTCAACATTTTGCGCAAATTCCTTCTTTAGTACAATATTATACATATATTTAGAAGCCACTCTGGTTTAGGTGGTAAACTTTGCGGTTTAAAACAACGGTCGTCAAACTTTCTGACCTCACGGACCAGCAAATTCATAATTTAAATCCCGCGGACCATTGATAGGACTTTTTAAGTTTTGAGGTCCACGGACCACCACTTTGGTGGCCTCTGGTTTAACTCTTTATCTACCGCATTATGATTTACTGCAGTTTTGTACTTGCAGTATTTTTTTTGAATCACTATATTGAAAATTAAAGGATATACATAAACAAAAGACTCAACTTTGGGAAATTTAATTAGTTAGAGGTAATTAATTAATTAAAGATCTTCAAAAAATAATTTTACACACTGTTCACTTAGAATAA